CAGCTCCTCCCCGCTCCCCGTGCCCCACGGCAAACTGCGGGACAGTCTGTGCCGGAGCGCCGGCCGCGGCGAGAGCCTCCCCCCGGCGCCGCTGGCTGGGGGCTGGCAGCTAGCGAGGTCCATGGCTAGGTGGAACATGGCTATTAAAATCCAAGCATGGCTTCCAAGCGGGCAACTTGACCTGTGAACAGACAGTGATTGCGTTAGAAAGGCCGGGGAGCAACGCAGTGCTCCCTCCCGGCACAGCACGGCACGGCACGCCTTGGCTCCCCAGGCCCGGCCACCCGAAACACCCCCGGCAGCGCAGGAGAGCGATGCCATCGTCCTCTCCCAGTGCTCCAGCCAGCACCCCCCGAAACAGCATGGCAGGGCACCCTGCACCCCCTCCCCACCCTCCTCCCACCGCCAAACCCACCACCACGAACAAGGCAGATCAAGGACCCCCATCCGAAAGCGCGACTCGGCTGCTTTTCAGCGGATCTGTGAACGCCGTGAATGACTCCAGGACGGGTTTTACTGCGAAATGCCCTGAGGAAGCGGCCAGCGTCTGCGTTGCCCAAACTCAGCCGTTTTAGACGAACTATCTAAGCAGATGGCACAAGTGGAGCGCCAGCAGCGAGAGCCTTTGCTCCAGTGTCTCTGGTCGCAGGGGTACTGGGGAGCCCGGCCCCTGCTCCCCAGCTTTCCAAGCCAAGGGACGAGGAGTGAGCCCGCAGAGGGCAGCGGTATTAATCCCTCAATGAGCTGAAGCAGAAGACTACGTTACTTTTGCGTTTGCACGTGTAACTCATCTCCTATCGAGGAGGTCGCCCACGCCGCAGCAGGAGCATCCCCTCCTGCGGAGCACGGCACCCAGCGCCGAATGCAACTGCGGGGACGCGCCGGGAGCTCCCGCAGCGAACACCTAACCTAGCGGGGAAGGATGAGCAGCCCCTTTCACTGCTCTCTCTTCCACCAAATAGCTGGAAATCACACTGAACTGTCAGCAGGCTCGTTATTTAAAATTTTGCTTTGATGTAACGTGCCACCATCAGGTCAGGTCACATCAAAGCCTTCTCCCTTCCTCAGCAGCACTGCACCTTCCCCTAAGACGTTACCCCATGTGAAGCACGGTGTTTCATGGTATAGAAAATGCCTGATACACGATTTTTTTGTTGTTGTATTCTCCCCCCCTCAAAAAGAAAATCATTGGGCCAAAGCCCAAAAATCTTTACTCCATTTTATTCAGCTTTTACACAAGAAAGACTTTTGTCAAACTCAGCAGGAGTTAATGAGAGCTTTATATGGCTAAATAGACTAATCCTCCGCAGCGCTGCGCCCCGTAAAGTCCTTGGTAGCACTACAAAATGTGCATCTGGTTGACAGAAGCATTTGTACACTCCCTCCATGCGTGAGCAAATGAAGCTAAAGGAGCTGACCTGGATACTCTCAGGCGCAGTCTTTTTCTGCTCAGAGGATCTCTTTTTTTTTTTCCTAATTGGGTATTTTTTCAAAGCGTAACAGCATTTATTTTGGGGAGGAATAAGGCGACGCAGGGGAAAGAGCGCAGAAGGAGAAAGGGAAGAGCCAGAAACAGACAACATAAACCAAAATAGTTCAGGCTGGGGGAGGAAGGATTTCAAGGCTTCAAAAAAACCGAACCACCCAAAACATGTTGTTGGTGGGGTTTTTTTTAGAGGCCGGCGGAGCGGTGGCAGTGCTGCGGGGGGCAGCACGAAGAGCATCCCCCGCGTGCCGTGCATCAGTGGTGCCACAGGCAACAGCCCGTCTCCACCGGCGAGGAGCCAGGAGCTCAGGCTTCCAGCGAGAGCATTAAACACAGATTCACCTTCGCAACACTCATATTCACTCCAGCAGCACATCAGGCTCGATTTCAGCCTCTGCCTGACTCCCTAACGCCATCTGCAACGTCTCCCTGCAAGGAAGGAGAGGTGCCGGGCACCCCCCTGGCGCTACGCTCAGTACCCCGGGTACCACCTCTCGCACCACCCGTGCACACGCCCAGAGCTCTTCCCTGCCCGAGCAGCCCTCCGCGAGAGGCGGTGCCCGAGGTGCTTTTATTAACAGCCGCTGAATGAGGCGAGGGAAGATGCACCCAGGCCAAACTTGGTGCTCGCTAAATCCCAGCTGCCGTGTGGAAGCTTCTGAAAGACACAATGCCAGTCCTCAGTACTTGGGATTGGCAGCTCACAGGAAAAACAGATTTTTCCCCTCTTCCCATTTCCTCCTGCTTGCTCGTGACATTCTCAAGCTGCGGCAATGGCAGCCCTGAGCTCACGGGGGTTTGCTCCTGCGCGGGACCTGCCTGAGCATCACTGCCTGCTCCCCTGCAGCATCGGGCAGACGTGAGCAAAATGCAACGTGCAACCCCCGCCTTCGTGCCAGCACACCAGAAACGCTGTGCCCAAGCACGGCCAGGCAGCGCCAGCTGACACCCATAGGCAGCGGGGTCCCTTGCTCCTGGCATCGCTCCCCAGGCCAGAGCCTCTGAAGGGGAGGGACACGGTGGGGGACACCCACGGCTCAATACGGGGCAGCACAAGGCAGGCAGAGCCCCCGGCAGCACCCCGTCCCGCCCCAAGGACGGCGTGGGTCACCCTCCCACCTGCATCCCTTCAAGCGATAACAGCCAAGGGCCTGTCACCCAAGGAGCATCCTCCCGGCCACCCCGCTGGCTGGCATGGCCCCAGGAGACGACTTTTGGGACGGCAGCAGCGAGTCCGGTTACCTCAGAGGAATTTTGCGTGGCATGCAATCTTTTGAGGGCTTTGCAACAACAGATAAGAGCAAGTGTCCTTCAGAATAAATAGCAGTGTGTAGGAGTTGCCGTTGTCTAGGCAACGCAGCGCGATGTGCTCGGTGGCGGCAGGGATGTGGCAGCGCATGGCGGAGCCGGCGGTGGCCAGGGACCCCCAGCTCCACCGCAGGACCACCCTTCCCTCCCCTGCCCCCCTCCTGCTCCCCCAGCCCCACTCAAGCACCCTGCCAAAGCTGGCAGCGAGAGAGACGTGTCCCAAGGGCAGCCCAGGGAGTGGCGACACGTCCAGCCTGGAGGTCCTGCCACCTTCTGTTTGCCCCAAAAAACCCCTGGCTGTCCCACGAAAGCCCGCCGCTCCCGACACACCACCCCTGGGGAGTCCCCGTGCCTCTGCCTCCCCATCGCCACACCGGGCAGGAGAGCGCCCGCTCCCCTCTCGGGAGGCGCAGGCAGCAACGCACCGCTGCTCGGAGGCTGGGGCGACACCTGTGCTTTGCTGAGACAGCAAATGGCACAAACCCTCCTGCAACTGCACGAGCTGCATCCCACCGGTCGGGAAGCGGAGGCAAGAGGAACCTTCGCTGCTCTCAGTGCATGGGGTAACTCCCCAGCTGCACGCAGAGGGGGTCCTGTCCTAGGGAAGGGGATAAATCGGTCAGCCGCGCACGTAGCACCCGTCTGCCTCGGTTCGGGGGCACAGACAGAGCCCCGGCTGGGGTTACGTGGTGAGTTAGAGGGATGCCCCAGGCAGGGCTGCGATCACGCTGCTCGCTGAACCCTCTGGAAATCAGGATTTTGATTATTCATGACTCCCCCCATAAACACACACACAATTTTTCTTCCATTGCAAAGAGAGACGGGGAGTGCGGGCAATTTTCATGTTCTTTCTTTTCCCATCTTGGAGGTGAAGGGGAACGTTCTCCCAAAATACTTCTCAAAGTCAAGGAAAAATTCAACAAAACTCTGAAATTGGGTTAAAAAAAGAAACGAGCAGTGGAGATATTCGAGAATCTGAAATCCCTTCTTTGCCCTCCTCACCCGAAGCCTTTGCTCCCACGAACCACAAATCCGCTCCCGCAGCTTAATGGATGGAGAGGCGGCCGGATCCTCACACAGTAAGGGAAACCGCTACAAATATTTACCTGCGCTTCGCGAGAAGTACAAGAGCAGATCTCAAGGAAACTACTCAGATAATTACAGGGATCATGCACGTTAAGCACTCCAGGGTTGCTCTGCTGAGCCCAACCGAGCCAATCTCTGTTTTAAAGGTGATGGAGTTACGGGGGCTGAAGGTGTTTCATACGGAGCCGTCGCAGCCTTCCCACCGCACGCGGCACACTATCTCCCCAGTATGAAAATTCCTTCCTGAATCCTTTCAGATGCAGCTGTTTGCTTTGAAGAGGAGGAAAGTTGGTGCTTAAGAGAGAGATTAATTTCAAGGAGGCCAGAGGACGCGAGCTTCGCTGGTCGGGAAGAGGCTGCCAGGGCACCTTCGTGTCCAGGTGCTGGCGCGGTGACGCTGCCCGGCTCCTCCGGCCTCACCGCCCCCACGGGCGGCAGCAACGCAGCTCTTGCCACCAGCCCCATGCGCCTTCAGCTCCTTCTCCACCAGGAAAACTGGGACAACCGAATCCCTCCCACCCCGATGAAGCTTCACGTACAGCCAGAAGCCCCCAGGCGTTTTGAGGAGCATGCACAAGCAAGAGAAATGCTTTGGTAATTAGTGGTCGGGGATTGCTGCAGAGCTGAAGAGGCAAGATAATCTCCATCCTGGGACTACCTTATAAACAGGTGAAGCAGTGGCCTGGGAAAAGCAGCCCCTGGCGCCCCTCGACGCACATCCTGGCCGCAAACCCAAATCCGCTGCCCCTCGGGCATCAGCCGGGCCCATCGCCCAGGGCTGCCGCTTCGCAGCCATGGCTCCTGCAACGCCGCTGTGGCTCTGAAGCACGTGCATGGGCTACGCAGGCACGGAGTGCTGCTTGCATCAACTACGCAATGTTTCCAAATCAATCGGGAGCACTGAGGGTTGCTCAGTGGTTTTGAGACGACGGAGCTGCGTGCACTGGCGGAGCGGTACAGTATGGAAGTTGGACAGAAATCCATCGGAAAAACAATGCACAGACCAAAGATGAGAGCAGTTAGGACAAATGGAGCACAACCCCTCTTCTGTCACCCTCCACACACGTTATTTTGCATTTCTATCCACAGAGGCAGTCGGCATGAGCACCCCCAGGGCAGAGGCAGCTGTGGGAGCACGATGGGAGTGAGACCCCCCCGAGCCCAGGGCTGGCGGCACCCCAGTGCCGGTCCTTGGCTCACTGCCACCTCACCCTTGTGCCAGGCTACTTCTCACACCCACTCCGCCATGCCCCAGCCAGAGCCAGAGCTTCCAGAGAAGCTGCCACCTCGCTGCAATGCCTGGGGTTTTAATTCATGCAGCTCTGAAGGCTGCGAAGCCCAGTGCTGCTCCGGGATGCTGCCTTGGAAATCGGCCGCTGCCGCCTGCACGCATGCAGGAGGGAAAGCCAGAACACCCAGCACGGCCAATGCACAAGAGGGG